CATCATTTTCCTTTTTCAGTCTTGCTTTCCTAAATGTCTAGCATACTTGAGTCCACTGAAGCCTGGACAAGACAAAGGCTGTGGTTTTCTGACTCCACAAGTAATAAACAAATGCAACATAAAAAAAAAAAAAAATCAAATGAAATGGAAGTTCCTGTTTGTAAAGTACAAGTCAGAGAGAGAAAAAAAAAAATCATTGGGTACATAAGACAGGCACTTCAGCAGCCTGTTTTGATGAATCCTCATCTATGGAATCAGAGTCAAAAAGACAACTTGACTCAGGAGTGGAAGAGCCTACAAACAACAAATTTCATCCAAGCACTTACATTAGCAAAAACCTGACTTATTTGTGGGAAGAAAACAAGTTACTATCAACACCTGTAGGATAAAATTTTATGCAAACTGTACCATGTACAGATATTTGATGCAGAGTAAAGATGAGACTTCTGCTTCCAAGTCAGAAACCCTTACAGAGTTTTTGGTCTCACTCTCACACAAACAAAGGAATATTTCTGTGGTACAACAAAAAAAAGCTACATAAATGAACCATTTATTTCCCTCAATTTTATGTTCTGTGGATAGCAATTTTTCAGGTTCTAATTTCAAATTTTAAAAGAAAGACATTTTCATTTGCTTAATTAACTGCTAGACACTTTGGCAGTTCACTCCTTTCTGTAGCACTGCAGTGGATATATAATTTCAAGTTTATGCAGAAACCTGAAATTATCTTAAACCTCATGTGTCTTTAAGATCAAATAACACTGAGGAATAAATGACTAATAATACTTTCATGTGCAACATAGGTACTAAAGTTGTGGTGCAAGCATGCTGTTGATGTCATTTTTCTTTAATATTTCTTGTATCTTCTTGCATATAATAGTAGATAAAAATAGCATCAATATCTAAAATTTTCAGTGTGAGTATCAAGATATTTTCAAGTGAAATATCCTTAAACTTATCACAGCTTTTAATTTCTACAGGAAATAACAGTTCAGGGTTTTTTTTCCCCACAGGAAAGTCTAAATATTTAAATTACCATATTTTTAATGTTCTGACATGTTGATGGTCAGATGTTCTTTGATGCTCGAAGATAGATTGGCAGAAATCAGAGCAGCATAGGGACTTACAAAAACATGGTATTTATGTTTGGCAGCAATTACTTTGTGAAAAATACAAGGTGACTCTTTTTACGCTCCTTCTTTCTTTTATATTTTTCTCCTCCAAGTTTGGCATGAATCAAAAGAGCTAAAAACTAATTTAACATGACAAATGCTTTCATCACTCCCTTAACCTCTGAAGTGAACACTCTGACAAAGACAATATGTGTGGTATATGCTTTCCTTTTGACACTTTATAAATGACTTTCTTGTAACTGGGTTTTACCACCAGCCCAGGATCTTCAGGATGTCCTCATTTGAATGGCTAGTTCTGCTCTTCATATGTCACCCCTGGATAATAGGGAGAACTCCTGGGCTTTGTGAAATGGCACAAGTCTCAGAGAGGACTGTGGGACAATTTTATTTCCATCCTGCATGCTGGAATTTACCAAAGAAGTTGTGCAGTACTAGCAGCTAATACTCTGCATTTCATTCACATCTGGCTATTGAGGAAACAGGGAGAAGTGACAAACCTGGCTTTAAGTGTGCAGACAGCCTTGTGTATGCCATGTAATGGAAAAGTTAATTGAAGTGATTATTTTCCTATTCTCTACTATTAAAAATAATATAACAATCGGTCATAGAAGCATTTTAAAGCGCTCTTTCATACACACCATCTGCACTCTTTTCCTCTGTCTAGTCCTGTAACAATAAGACCAAAAGTCACCTGATTTATTTTCAACCTGGTGAATTTGATCTGGGCTCAAGTTTCTGCAGAAACCCTGCCAGTGTAAAGGAATTCAGACATAGACCAGAATGTCTAAGATGGGAAAATGTCTTGACACAGAACCAAGCCTATTCTGCACAAACAGGTGCCCTGTCAAGCTGGACCAGTGCAATGCACACCTGCAGATTTTTTCCCCAGACATCAGTCAGGGTGGTTTGCAGAGGAAGATTTAGAAAATTTCAGATAACAGTGGTACTGACTGGTCTATAAAAGAAGAGTCTATCTAAATAGCCAGACTTTGATGACATATTATGATATAAACCATCAATCTATATGTATCTTAAAAAAGAAAATAAAACCCAAAGTTACCTTCTAACAAGGCATATTGCCATTATTTTGACAAATGTTTAACTTAAAATCTCAGAAGTATCTTTATTTAACATCAATTATGTAGTGTGGCAAAAAGTTCCAAAGGTTATTTATGCACTATGAATTTATTTTTAAAGTGTTAAACATACTGCCTTTTCATTTCATTCATTGTATTTTAGATGTGTGTTGAAGGAAATGCAATAGGAATGCCTAATAATTTTTAATTTTTTTTTTTTTCTTTTCTATGAGATTTCTATGAGATTTTTTTTTTTTGCTTCTTTCTTTAAATCACCCTCATTATAATTTTTTTCATGCCAGCCATAATCTTTTGCAGTCTCACAGTCCCAGGGTTAAACCTGCAGACATCATGTTTTCAATGAACCACCCATATCAATTCTCCCATCTCTTTTATGATAGGACAATTCATTTAGAAATCCTGAAGAGTATGAGAACTTCAAAGTACTCTTTCAATATAATTTACTTCATATTTGCCATCACTGCCTTTTGCATTTGGTCCTGCAAGAATCTTGATCAGCATTGATACCATCACAGCCCAGACACCCTGACAAACCTCAGGAGCAGAACCATTTGCTGCAAATTTTGATGATTTTTTCAATAACTCTTACTTTTACCTAATGTAACCCCAGTGATGGAACCTCTGCTATGGTAGAGAGCAAGAAATTTTCTTTGTGGACATGTAAGGCTGAAATACAATAGCAGCACCTTCAAAGCCTTTCCCTTTTTCAAATCAGGAGATGATTTAGCACCTTAAGTCACACTGTTGGAGGACAGCAAGGGTTAGTTTATAGCTGATGGTCTTACACCTACTCTTTGTCATGTGCAATGAATTGTATGATTTTTTGCTGAGAGTGAGGGAATTAATTTAATAAATGGTCTACCTAAAGCACTGTGCTTTTACCTTTCTGTTGTTCTCAATGCATCTAAGGCTACACCACTGCTTTTTTTTTTTGTTTTTTTTCTCTTTCCTTCACTCTAAATTATGATCACAGTGGATCTATCAAATTTATTCATAGGATTAATTTCAGCTATTTTCTGGTTTTGACATATACTTATTCTTTCCTGTGTATGGCATGAAGCTTGTCAGGTAACTTCTCATTATTTAAACCTTGAGCTAACACTCTCTCCTAAACCCTGCTTTGTTGTGTTCACTACCAACTCTATTGTGCTCATCATTCTTTCAACAGGAAAGACCTCAAATCTTCTGTCAAAATGGATCAGTTATGTTGTTACTTGAAATGATAGATCATTCATCAATTATTGAGTCAATACATTGCCTTACATTCTCTCTTGTCTAATATATGAAAGTGCAAAAAGCAATAACCACGTTGCAAAGCTTTGCTTAAGATTACAGTAACCTAAATAGCAAGGAAAAAAACCCACATTTCATAATCCATCACTTCAAAGTTATGCACATGATTAAAATGTTCAGCTTGCAGTATATCATTTCCCATGTGCATAATCACTCTAACAGGGAGCTGCTGTATGATAACTGTCAACTTCAATGAATTATGTGCTTTCCAATCTTTTCATTTATATACCAAACTAAGCTTGTTATTCTTCTGAGGCTTTCTATGGGGGAAATACAGAAAGATGGTTAGATCTGTAGTACTCAGTGTGCTGGACTAAACAGACAGCAGGAATAGTCAGCCAGTTCTCTCCTACTACTGTATATATTAATCACATATGGAAGCTCATTAGTATGAAAAATGGGGTTTTCTTAGAAAAAGGGGCCTATCCTGAAGAGTCAGGTTATATAGGATCAAAAAAAAAGAGAAAATTCAGCACATCTTTATAGATCTTTTGAGTGCTATATGTGAGAATAGTTTCAGAGAGAAAATAAATCCCACAAAGAATAGGTCTGGAAAGTATTAACAGAAAATATTGTCCAGCTACCATAATTCTGCCATTTATTCAGAGAACCTAAAAGGTGTGAAGCACTTCACTGTCATCAGCATATTGTTAAAGGCACAATTGTAAAAGGCACAAAATACACTGGTAGTTTGTGCAAACACCTAAAACAACCTCTACAACAGAGAATGAGAGGGGACCAGGGGAGGGGGAGGAAGTCAGAAATTAATTAAAATAATAAAATTAAGAAAGACAAAATCTTAGCAGCATGTTAAAAAACATCTCAAAAAACCACAGAAAGGTTTAGAACACAGTGTGGTCACTATCAACATACGAATCATGGGAAATAAACACAACATTCAGAGTTTCTATATTTTTCCTTACAAAATGCTAAGGATGAGTGGAACATGGAAAATGACTCCATGCAAAATGGAACCATCTAATGATTCAAATTTAACACCACCAGAATTTAGGCATACAGACCAATATAGACTGAGAACTAGTAATCAAAATGATTTTGGCTTTTTTATCTAAAGGCAGCATGTGATGGTACTATTTGAATTCAAATGCCACTAGCTTCTGTTACTTATGTGAATTCACCACCTATCACAATTTTTTATAAATACTTTTTAAACATATGGCACTACATCAAAAAGTCATTGAATCCCTCTGTTTGGACCATCTCTGAGATGTGCATATCTGACACCTAAAGTTAACACTGCACATTAAGAATCCTGAATCAATTTCTTGCTTCCACTGCTCTTACGACAGCAAACGTGACTCGAACATTTTATTTTTTCTCATTAATCACTATGAGGAATAATAACATTCTTTGCTCACTGAGAACACATTCACATTTGTGAAACACATCCTTTCATCTGCTGAACTTTCATTTTCTGACACAGCCATGTGATTTGAGAGAGAAAACACAGCCTTACCTATGAAATATGCTAGCAAGATGGCAAGCAGGACTGCAGCAGCAATTGCAGATAAAGCAGCACATTTCCAGCTACAGTACTTGGAGGGTTTTTTCAGCTTGAATGCATTCCTGGAGAATGTATTTCTAGGTAACAGTCTGGGAGGTGGAGTATAAACCGTTCCTGAGGTCAATGGGTAACCAGGGGAAGAGCTACTGAACAGCGGAGTAGTTCCAGAAGATGTCTTAAACAAGAAATGCCTGAAAAACATAAAATGGAACAGAGTTGAAAATGGCAAGTCCTGTAGTTAAGACAGAACATCTCCTACTCCTATACCATTCCAGCTGCCACAACCTGCTAAATTCAACCAAAAAGAAAAAGGATTTTGTAGGAAGAAAGAGGGAAATGAAAATTCTCCCTTTTTTTGCTACCTGATCCTAACAACTGGCACTAAAATGCAGTGTCAGGATGTCTTTCTTAATCTTTTCTGTAATTAGATGCAGCTTGACCACATACTAGCTAAAACACCAGCATGACCCATGAAGTGTCTGGGAGTTCCCTGTGGAATCCACTCAAAAAATGTTCTAAGAAAACCACTCTGAGTCTCGTTTACACTCTTGGCAAAAGCTCCCAGCAAAACCACTAAGAACATACTGAGCAAAACCCATAGTCCTGTAGGAAAAGGTCTTGCCAGAATTAGAATTAACAATGATTTTGTGGTTTAACAGTACACAGGTTTGGTTTGAACAGCTAAGACAATTACCAACAGCACATGACTCAGCAGATAAAACCAGGATTTCAGCTGCCCATACATTTGTTAGGAAGAAAATAAGGGATAGAATACACTCTAATGAATCTCAGGAAATGCTGTCAACACATTCCAGACAGAGCAAATGGAGAAAGCAAACTGGAAGACTGGTTTCTTTACTTCTCAGAGTCAGGAAGAAATGACTACAAACATGTTCCCAGTAAACAATAAAAAGAGAAGCACAGGACAAAGGCTGTGCTCTTACAGAAAGTCACTGGGTTTAAGACAGAGAGCTCTGAAGACTTGCTCCATACCCTCTCCCTTCACAGCTCTGAAAAACAAGTGCTTCTTGGAATCAAACAGAACCAAGACACTCAGTAATCTCCAAAATCAAAATCACAGCCTAAAATAACCCAGGTCTTCCTTCCAATGTAAAATATGTTTAACATTTTTATTCAGATACAATCCAGTATGTCACTCTCAAACCACCTGTTAGAGCTTTAAAATCCATGTCACTCACTGACAACGAGAATTTGGAGGCTGAGTTGTGTTTCCCAAGTATTTCCAGCCCACCATCATGAATGTGCCTACTGTCAAGCATAGATTTTTGTATATCTACAGAATACCAGAAGTGATTTTGAAGGCATTTTTTAAACATTTGTTTTGAAATAAAGCCCAGAGCACAAGAGATTGTACAGAACTCACATGCAGGTAAAAGACAGTAAAAGGAAAGCTGTCTGGGCTCCCCAGATTTCTGATTAAACATTTCCATTTGAAGACAGCCTCTGAAAATCTGTTGGGTTTTTTTTAATGAATCAATCATAAACTCTATTAATCAATATGGAAAAACACTTTGACATTGCCTTTGTTATTGATTTTTAAACACCAAGTGGCCTTGTACATCCCTCTCAACAGTGACCAAAATCTACTTTGTTGTAGAAAATAGCTGAAGACAGTGGCAATATCCACTGTCATAACCTTTTCTTTGTGCTTTGGGAACCTCAGATGCACAATCAAACTCAGATTAATTCTAACCAGTTATTTAATAGAAACACTGGGTTTTGTTTTTTTTAATGCTGAGACTTCCTCTTCAAATTACAAGCCTCTTAAATTATGAAAAACATCTTTCAGCTAAAAGAAATCAAGAAATAATGAAAGTCTGTGGTCTTAAATGCTCAATTTTAAATATTTCTTTATTTTGCAACAGTTCAATTAAAGTAACTGATGGGAAAAGGATGTGATGGGGCTAGTTGTGTCACACAAGATCTATTGACCCTTCTGCTCCATCTGTCTGGGTAGAACCTGATTAATCTGTCAGCAGAAGCAGGTTTAGTCCTTTCTGGTTGCTCTCCAGTGTTGGGAGCACAAGATCATGTCCATGATTGGATCCAGGGATTGAAATGACACAGAGCATGAGGAACAAGGGAAAGCCAAAGGAAGACAGAGCCAGTGAGATAAAGGCAGGCAGGAAACTCCTGTCTCATCCAGAGTAATTCTGCATCTGCCTCAGCCCAGGACCCCTTCTCCTTCTGAATCCTCATGGCAGGAATGACCCTCTCAGCTTTGGACAGAAGGGTCTATAACAGGCAGTTCTTACCCTTTCCCTGCCCAAAAGCAGATCTTTCAGAACCAAACTGGAAATTACAGTCCTTGGAGCTGTCTTTATCTGAAATGCCTTTAAACCCAGGAATTTTATGTCCTCTTTAGCTGAGAAGGCAGCTACATCACCAACAGAAATTTTAATATAAAGCATTGTTAAAGTAAACTCAGATATATAATGAAACTCTGCTCCCATTAAAACTGAATTAATGAATATCTAGATATGCTTTAATAGAACATGTCAATCATATCCTGTTGCATGTGAGAAGACAAAAAAAAGTAGAACAAAAAAGCGGCTCTGCTGTGATCCACTTTGAGATACATAAAGTACATAAAGAAAACCAAAACATTTATCCATGCAAACAGGATCTCTATGATATTGTTAAAACTAATCAGAACTTGGTAGGAGCAAAAAAAGCTGACTGAAAAGAATATGTGAGAAGATGTCATTCTCAAAGCCAAAAAAAGAAAGGAAGAATGTCATTGGATAAAGCCTGAATTTTGTCACATTTTGGGCTACCCAAGCATTTCTAAAGCTGAAAGTTCATTGTCTCAATATGAGGACCCCTGACAAAGTAGCAGCTATCAGAAGACATCACACCACCTGAAAGCACACAAGTTCTGCCTTCAAAAGTCAAAAAAGACATTTAACTAAAGATGTGCTAAATATCCCCCAAGACACTTTGGAAAATTGACACTCCATTCCAAAGCTGGGGGCCAGATTAGCAGATATACCTTAAATCACAGCAAAGCACACCAGAAAAATTTGGAACATAATGGACAAAACACTTGGACCCCCAGAGTTTTAAATCTAGACTCAGCTACTAATGGAAATAAATTGACTTGTCTCAACTCTATCCCTAAACCCAATGATCTATAGCCATATTTTTATGTGAGATTTGACATGCTCTGGTACAACCAATTGTCTGTGGGCTGAAGCTGCACAGAGAGAACATGAGCATTTATCAACATTAATTACAGCCTCACAGTGGTAAGGCTGGGAGCACTGTACAATGCCTGCTTATGAAAAGAAATGATCTGATTTGTAGCAGTTCACTTAATTTCAAATACACTCCATATAAGAATTAAAAAATTGTATTCTCTGTTTTACCTGTTCACCTATCAAACATGATTAAGAAAAACACATTTTCTACCTCTCAATTAAGCATCAGCAATTTGAATTAGACTAGGACCAACTTCCTATTTTGAAAACATGGGGAAAAAATTTCCTAAGTCTCAGCCCAGTCTCCCTAATTCCTGTGGATCAATAAGACAATTCCATACTGAGAAATTCACAAAATATGGTTGCCAGCCTACGATGATTCTGTAATTTCAGCTCCTTGAAAAGCTGTGGAAGGAACAGAAGTTAACCCTGGCGCTCACTCCGTGCTCTCCTCTCCCACTCCCAGGCTCTGGATTCTGGATTCTCCCACTCTGCTTTCAGCTCTGCAGCTCTGTGGGGTCACAGCCGGCACCTCAGCGCTGCCACCACCCCAAAGGTGACATCTGTGAAAGCTGAGCTTGAGAGGGGACATTTGACCACTGTTCTGTGCACTAATGGCAAATGGAAAAAGCTATATTTTGCTTTCTTCATTAATTCAGAGCTCTTCCTAGCATGTGCTTTCCCACAGGTCAAAAGGACCTCTTGTGTTCAGGGAATAGTGGTCTGACTGAGACTGTATTAACTTCCATATTCTTTGAGAGAACAATCAGCTTTTCCCCCCCTCCCTTCTGGACAGATTGTCATGGCAGCACACTGCAAGAATGAGTGGAGAAAAAAAAAAATTGGCTTTGCGATGAAAAACTGTAATAGAAAGGAAGAAAAAGACATTTTCTAACATAAATTGCTTCTTTCCCTCCTCACACTGTCCTAAACTTATTCTGTATGAAAAAAAAAAAAAGGCATACAGAGAATTGTAATGCTTAAATTGTCTTTTTTATATTTTATAGGGTTTTTACTAGTAATTAATAAATAGAAAAGCTACATGCCAAGAGACTAGTAACAGCTCAATTTAGTTGTTCTAAGACCTAAAAATATCTTCAAGCTGTGGTAAAATTGCGTCTGTCTATAATTTTATTGGACATTTATTCTTAGCAGAAAACAATGGAATATAGAACATAATATGCTGGCTTTCATTGTGATAAAAAAAAAAAAAACCTGCTGCAGTTTTCAAAGTCTTCCAAAAAAGTAGCCATGAGTCATTTTATGTCAGTGGAAGCCTCAAAGTGGCTGCCAAATTCAGACAGTGAGTGAAGTTTTATGGAAGATTTCTAACTTCCAAACAAAAAGAAACCAAGTCTGAAGAAAATCATGAGCTGTTCTTATGCCTGTTATGAAAGAATGAACTCTGAGTGGTAGAGTTGTGCAAGCTTTGGTTACCTGTGTCTCAGTCTTTCCCCAAAAGAGATTTAATTGTACATTCCCTGAGGTTCCTGCAGAAAACATGGGACCACCAGCCATGTTCCCACAGCTGAGGGCTCTCTGATGTGGTAGAACTGCAGGGTAAAAGGTAAAAAAACCTGCAAGGTAAAACTTTCTACCCTTTTAGAGTGCCTAGAACTCTAAAGCCAGCAATAAAGCTTAGCAAGTGCTATCTATATGTGTTTACATTATCTCAATCATGTCAATTCTACAGACTAAACTCAGTAAGCAGATTTTTCAGTGGGAAGCTATTTCAAATCCAGATGTATACAAACCCACTGGCCATTTTACACACCTATGTGTTGTGTACCCCCACACCCACATGCCTGTGGAAACAGAGGACAGCCCTCATGATGCTATTTCAGTGATTTTCAGCCTGCTGCAGAAACTGATGCAGGAGCTAGGGACACCCTGTTAGGCATGGGGACAGTAATTCAGGGTGAACACATCAGTATCAACGCCACACTTGTGCCCACTGTCACCTCCTGATC